AGCTGCAGCGGCTGAGCGTTCTTGCCCTTGTCGTGCCAGCACACGTCGAAGAAGGGGTACACGGGCCCGGGCAGGCGCTCGTGAAAGGCGAAGAGCGGGGCCAGCGCGTCGGCGTCGCTGGCGTCGTAGAAGGCGAGCACGCCGTCGCGGAAGCTCAGGTAGAGCCCCACGCGGCTCGGCCGCCGCTCGGGGGTGCGCAGCGCGCGCGGCTCCTTGGCCTCCACGTGCGCCTCCAGCGCCTTCCCGTCGCGCAGCCCCAGCAGCCACAGGCCCTGCGACGGCGTCGCCTGCAGCCGCCCGCGCCGGGGCGCCTCCGCCAGCATCACGCCGAGCGCCCAGCGCGGCTTGTCGCCCACCTCCACCTCCCAGTAGTGCTCGCCGTCCGACAGCAGCTGCTGCGCGACCACAGCCACCGCCTTGTCGAACTGGCGCGCGTCCTCGCCGGCCGGCGGCGCCTTCTGCTCCACGCACTCCACGCGGCGGCCGGCGGCCGACACCACCAGGCTGGGGTGCGCCGAGCTCGGGTCGAAGGTCAGCTCCTCCAGCGCTGTGGGGACACCGCGGTCAGGTCAGCGCACCCCGGCAGCTGGAGGGAGCCCGCGACTGGTGATTGCCCCAGGAGCAGCGCTTCCCTGCACTGCCTTTGGTCGGCCCTGATTCCTTCCCTGCGTGGTGGGGGCAGGACTGAGCTGGTAACGAGGCACAGGACCGGCTGCCTGTGGCCCAAAGAGGCCCAGGGTCACACCAGGTCAGTCATGAGGCCTGGTTCTCAGTGGTTCCCTTGCGGGAGGGGAGTGGGGTTCCTGGGGATTGAACCTGGCCTTTGCCCTGAGCTACACTCAGACCTGGGTGCTTCTGCCTCTGCCTCTGAGGCTGCAAGGATTGCAGGTCTTCACCTCTACACCTGTGCCACCAGTCACTCTCGACATGGTTTCTGGGTATTATTTTTTTCTTGAATAAACCCAGGATCTCTCCATCCCCACCACATACACCAGTAAGGGTATGCACGAAGGGCTGCACCAGCCATGCCTGATTGTCGTGAGGCAACTGGATGCGCTCCAGCTCTTTCTGGACAAGGCTGAGGCCTGGAACCACCCCAGCTGCAGGACATCAGGCCACTGTCCAGCCCAGAACAGCCCCACCCAGAGAACAGGAGACATCATTTCTGGATCCAGAGGCAGGGCCTGGCTACGGGTGACCCAGGCGTCGCTGGTTCAAACCCAAGCCCCAGCGTCCCATCTGGCCAACAACAATGTTCTTGAGGCCAGCAGCACCTTCCCAGTGAACCCCCTCCTCCCAGAAATCTTGTATGTGGTTACAGAGTGGCAGAGGGAGCCGGAGGTGAAGTGTGGTGCCCTCCTCAGTGATCTAAGTTGGAATTGAAGTTTCCTGGTGTGGGGTGGGAAGTTTCCTGGTGTGGGGCAGGGCCTCCCACTGAACCCCTAAGTACCACACCCACAACCCCTAAGTACTAAGCCCGCCTGCTCAGTACCTGGCATCAGAGCCCTGAACATCTTCTTCCACACTTGGAATTTGAAGTCATCAGAAATGACAGGCAGCTGGATATCCAGACGGGCAGGGGGTGGTGACTCTGCCAGGATCTTCTGCAGCCTGGGGGTAGGGAGGGGAAGGGAGATGCCTGTGTTGGAGGAGGACAACAAGTACACCCCAAGACAGGCACAGGGCGGTGGGGGAAGGAGTGTTCCAGGATCTTCCCACTCACACCCCAACTTCTGGAGTTTCAGTTTGAGCACAGGAAAAGTACTGAAGACGGATTGGGTGATGTTTGCACAGTAAATACCCTAATGCCAGTGAGCATAAATGTACGTGCAGTGCTTAAAATGAGCCATACTTCATGGCACACACTTGTAATCTGCACTTAGGGGGCTGAGGCAAGAGGATCGCCACAAGTTCAAGGCCAGCCTGGGCCACATAGTGAGTTCTTAGCCAGTCTGAACTACATAGCGAGACCCTGTCACAAAAAAGACAATGCTGGCCCTGCTCCCGGGGCATGCTGAGACAATGATTGAGACTGGGCGTGGTGGCGCACCTGCAATCCCAGCGCATGGGAGGCTGAAAACAGGAGAATCACTACAAGTCCAAGCTGTGTAGTGAGACCCTGCAGACCCTGTATTACATACATTTTTAAAAATCATAGAATGTATATAACATAAAATTCATTTATTTTTGCTATTTGGATCAGGCTGGCCTTGAAGCCACCACATAGCCTAGGCTGGCCTTGAACTGTCAGTGATCCTCCTGCCTCAGCCTCCGGAGTGCTGGAATTATAGGTGTGCAGCACCACACCCGGCTGTACAATTTATTTTAAAAAATAAATAAAACCCTTTTGTTGGGCTGAGAGCCATGTCCTTCGCCCTCCCTCACTTCCACACCAGCATCATCTTCTTGCCCACCGAAGCTCTCTGCACTTGCCCCTCCCTCTACCTGTCCTGCTGCTTCTCCAGGTCTGCCGGGTTAATGCCAGTCCCTTCCTACAGAATCCATCTGAGATCTCTAGTTCTCAGAAAAGCCCCCTGTCCACCTCTGTCTGCCCCACAGCCAGAGCACATAGTGACCCCTGTGTCCTACCACACACATGCACACACACACACACCTGGTTCACAATGCCAGCCTTACCCACAGGTAAGGACCAGGTCTGATTTGTTTCTGTGCTCATACAAAGTATGGAAAGCAGAAAGGCACATGGTGTGTGAATGGATGGCCGCTAGCTGGTGTGACTAGAAGGCTGGGGAAAGGGGCACAGCCAGGTTGGTCTCACCTGCTTGTCACCAGGCAGTATTTCTGGAGAGAGAGAAAAAGAGAATGGAGGTGAAGAAAGCTCATAGGACTCTGGACACTACTGAGGATGGAATGAGCAGCCAGGAATGTGGGGTCAGGAAGAGTCAGAAAAGCAAATGGAACCCACGACTCAAGGCCACCCCTAGCCCTGTCCCTCCGCATGAATTAAGAAATACTACCCCCTCCCCATGGAACTCATATTTCTCTGTTAAAAGATTGTCCCACTAAGTATAGAAATCTGTACTTGCTGTAATATGACTATGTCCACTTGGAGTTAGTGTCCTTGTGCAGTGTCCAGTGTAAGTATGGGCCAGTGTAACTAACTATGTGGCACTAGCTCCTTGCCCCTCTCTGGGCCTGAACTTCCATCTGACAAAGGGATGAAGTCCCTGGAGCCTGAGCCATTGGCCCAGGCATCATCCAGGGCTCACCATGAGGAATTCCGTCTGTGGTTTGTCAGCCACCTCCTCCAGCACCTTCTGCATCTGCCGCAGCTGCTCTAGATAGGAGTTCAGGCCTGCCAGCTCCCGCCGCAGGGCAACCTCGGCCTCGCCCCGAACTCGTTCTGCCTCCTGGTCCAGCGAGCCTTCCAGGGAAGCCAGGAACACCCTCATCTTGCCCAGCTGCTCCCCAACAGCCCCCCGGAACTGCCGCACCGTCTCCTGCAAGAGGAGTCAAGCCAAAGCATTTGGTGGGACATCCGCAGCCTGGACCCCGGGCCCAAGCCCCTGGCGGCACCTCACCTCCACCTCCACCAGCTGGTGTTCCAGCAGGGCCACACTCTTCTCCTTGCGTGTGCATGCCTCCTGCAGCTGCAGCTGCTGCTGTGGCAGCTGAGCCTGGGAAGCCAGAAGAAGACAGAGATGCTGACCACCCCAAATTTGTTGCTGTCCCCCCACAAAACTCTGAAGCTCAGACTCAATGGTGGCTCCTTTTCCAGCAGCGGCCCACGCCCTTTTGCATGCTCGAAACCAGCTCCCACATCCCACTCTTCCCCTCCCTCTATGCATTTGTTCACTGCTCCTCAACCCCACTCGCTCAGCCATCAGCCCCCAGGTCAATCAACTCAAGATTTGACCTCGCTACCCAGACAGACAAGTACAGCTCTACACACACACACACACACACAGGCTTCCAGGGGCAAGTGAAACATATGTGGAAAAAGAAATCCAGACTCCCCAACTCCTGGGCCTCAGCCCTTAGAAGCAGAACATCAGCCTCAGCCGGCAGAAGCCCCATTCAGTTCCTCTGGACACCCACAGCGCCTGGGAACAGCCAGCTTTCTAAAGGTGTCCAACCAAGCACATCTGGGGTCTAAATCCTAGCTCAAAGCCTGCAAGTTTGCGATTCCCAAAAGGCAAGCATAGGGGATCCCGTGATGTCCTGCAGGGCTGCGTCACTGGGGGATCCTGGAATCCAGATGGCCCCTTCCTGACTCCATGACTTCCAACCTCAGTTTCCCTCTTGGTGGAATGCAAGTAGCCATTCCTCCTCAACAAACCAGTGCTGCTACGCCCCTGGGGGAGACTGAGAGAGCCAGTGTTTGTGAGGAGTCCCCGCCTCACAGGTGCTGTGGGCCCAGACCACAACTCTTCCCCCACAATGGCACCTCCACCTACTCCTAGCAGGGCACGACTGGGGTCCAGAGGCTGGGGAAGAAGCCAGGCACCACCCCACGGCGGATGAGTTCAGAACATTCAAGCTGATGCCGGGGATGGTAGAGCTGTCCCGAGGCCACCAAAGCGTCCCGTGGGAGACACTGGACCTCACTGACAAGCTGGTCGCTTCTTCTGCCAGAACTTCGGCAGCACAGACCTCACGGGCAATTTGTGCCGGAACACTGAACACGGACACCTTCCAGGCAGCTAAGCTGCTTCCGGTGGGCGTTGCCGTCCTCCGTTCCCAGGCTGTGCGGGGACTCCGGCCCAGCCCCTCTTCTTCCCAGACCCCGGGTGTCTGCTCCCACTCCAGGGCCCTCCTGCCTTCCTCTTCCTTCCCTTCTTTCTGGGCCTCTATGCTTCCACCCCACCCCACCCCGGGGCCCGGGCAGACTGGATCTCGTGGTTCTGTTCCACAGGTTCTGTTCTCTGTCCACAGGTAAAGATGCAGGATGTTGTGAATGCTGGGGTGAGCCCCACGGGAAAGCCTGGGCTGGACGGGCTCCCCTGAGAAGGGTTCTGCAGTGGGCTAGGAGTCTGCTAGGCTGGAGTCAGAGAAGGGCTGTGAGCAAGAGGACAGGAGGTCTCCCCACGCCCGGAGCCACTGAGGGAGCCCCACACGCTTGTGAGACAGACAGCTTTTCCACACAGCGATGGTGACCCAGGTGCCATCTCCTGCCCCTGCACCTGCCGTTCACTCCTGCCTGGCCCACTCTCCTGGACATATCTTCCTGGAACCTTGGACACCTACGTGTCCGAGCACTGCGCCCGCATCCCCCTATAGGTCCCCTGCTCTATCCCACTATCCAGTCCATCCCCGGCCAGGGCTGCACCTTGAGCCGCGTGTGGGCCTCGGCCGCAGGCAGCAGACGGTGGCCGCGGTGGGAGCCGAGCGAGGCGCACACGCCGCACACAAGCGCGCGGTCCTGCTCGCAGTAGATGCTCAGCGGGTCCAGGTGCTCCTCGCAGTGACCCTGGGGCACCTGCGCCAGGCCCTCCACCAGGCGCGCCAGCTGCAGGTTGGTGCTGAGCGTATGCGGCCTCGTGGGGGCCTGGCAGCTAGGGCAGGGCACGGTGCCGTCGGGAGCCGGCTCGCCTCCCACGCGGCCCAGGCAGGCGCGGCAGAAGCTGTGGCCACACTCGAGGGTCACGGGCGCCTCGAACAGCTGCAGGCACAGCGGGCAGGACAGCTCCTGGTGCAGGAGGCCGGGCGCGGCCGACATGGTGACCTGGAGGAGGAGGAGGAGCCGTCAGGGAGGCCACCGGGCGGTGCCCGGCTCTCCGCTGGGTCTGTGGCCCACATGGAGGGGCCCCGGCCTGCCCCACCGAGCAACCTGCACTGGAACAGACTTGGATTAGCCAAAGGGGAGAGGGACTCTGGCTCCTTCCCCAAGACAGCTTCCCACCCCCTTCTCAGGCCCCAGCAGGCCCCTGCGGCAGCTCCAGCCCCTAAACCCAAGCCTAGGTTCCAGGCAGTCTAGAACACCCAGCCCAGCCCTCACCTCTCTAGGAGCACCCCTGCCCACCTGCCACACCTCCAGGCCCACAGGACTCACAGCTGTTAGGCCAGGAGACTCCCAGAGGACCAGAATCAGGCCTCACCGCGGCGGTCAGAGCTGCAGGGCAGGCAGCAGTCACAGAGCAAGGACAGCAGTGGACACTGTGGGGACAGACACACCCAGAACGGAGGACAGACCCACTGGGGTGGAGCCATGCCCCAGCGCTATATTTAACTACTGTGCCAGCTCCTCCTGTCACTTCTGGAATCTGCTCTAAAAGTGAGCGCTGAGCCTGTCTGCCAAACATCTCTTGTCAGGGCCACCTGTCCAGGCCCATCCACTGCCCTCTCACAGGCCCAGCCTGAAGGCAGCGCTCAGAGCCAGTGGGGGGACAGAATGACACATCCCCAGCAGGTGGGCAGGCTCCCCTCCTTCCCTTTGTCCTCCTGCACAGCTGGCTTCCTCCCAGGCACCTGCAGCTCCTCCAGCTCCTCCCCAGCTGTCGGAGGTCATTTTCAAGCCCCCAGCTCACATGGGCAGAATCACCCTCACAAGGCCTGAAAGATTTGCCTCCAGAGATGGGGGAGGGCACTTCCTACGCATTGCCCAGTGTAGCCCTGGGCCTCCTGTACACTTACCTCTCCATCTCAGCCTAGATTTCATTCCGCGCTGAATTGCTCAAACCTCTTTCTTATTCCTCTTTCCCTTGTTCTGCAAGAACTTCACACTTGTACTCACTTTGCCTGAAAGGTGTTTCAAACTCAGATACTGCACAGCGCCTCCCTTTCCTGCTCAGATCTGTCTTCAATATCACCTTGTCAATGAGGTCTTTTCTTGTTTTTTCTTTTTTTTTTTTTTTTTTTCTTTTTGCAGAACCAGGGATTGAACTCAGGCCCTTGCGCTTGCCAGGGAAGCGCTTATTCCACTGAGCCATCTCCCGAGCCCCAGTGAGGTCTTTTCTATGGTCACTCATTTTTTTCCTGAAACACTCCCTCACTATTTTGCCCTCAATCCTTCTGCCTCAGTTTCCCAAGTAAAGGGAACTCAGAGTGGCTCTCCATGCCTGGCAATTCTGAGTTTTGTTAGGTTTTGTTTGTTTGTTGTCGTAGTGCTGAAGATTCAAGCCAGGGCCATCATACTGAACTACATTCTCAGTCCTTTATATTTATTTTATTAATTTACTTTTACTTTATTTTCAGAAAAGGCTCTTTCTAAATTGTTAAGCTGCCCAGGCTGGGTTTGAACTTGGGACCCTGCTGTCTCAGCCTCCATGCACATGAATCCCATATCATCCCAATATCTGCCTTCCAATTTTTTTGGTAACATGTATCACCACTGACATGAAATATGTTTGTTTGTGGGTTTATCATCTGTCTTCTACCAAAATATAAGTTTTGTTCAACACCTGTTTCCAGATGACAATAAAATGTGTGGCACTAAATAAATCCTCTCAAGATACCCCCTGCCCAGGGGCTGGAGAGATAACTCAGTAGAATAAGCACTTGCCTGGCAAGCGCAGGGTCCTGAGTTCAATCCTCCGTCCCACCAAAAAAAAAAAAAAAAAAAAAAAAAAAAAGATTCCCCCTGCCCCGTTTCTGTTTTGTTAGGGGCAGAGCTATTTGGCCGGTTGGTTTTCAAGGCGGGATCTTCCTAAAGTGCCCGAGACAGCCACAAATTTGTGATCCTTCTGCCTCAGCCTCTTGGGTGCTGGGATTACAGGCTCTAAATTTCGGTTTCTATTTCTGGCTCTTAATCTTCCCTTTGGACTTTGCCTTGCCTAGGTTTTAAGTATTAATCATATTGAAAGTACACATGACATACTCTGAATCCGAGGCAGATTTTTTAATTAAACAATTCATAGTAAAGTAAATGCCCTAGCATGACAATTGCTTTTCTTCTTCTTTCTCTTTTTTCCCTGAGTTTATTTTTCATTGGCAGTAACAATTGTTGTGTACACAGACTTCTGACAGGTAAGTACCAAGGAAAAACTATTTTCCTTGTTGGTCAGTGTCTCCTCTTAGCCCAGGACTCTAGGAGGGAAATAAACATCCCCACGAGCTCCAGGAGACAGCCCTTTTCCTATCTCAGCTCTTATGTGAGTCCCAGCCCAGCCCTGGTCCCCGAGTCCCAGGACCCTTCCTCCCTGCATGTCCCAGGCCCAGGACACAAGCTTCTGCTGCTTCACTGCCCACCCTGGGCTCCCTGGCACTTCAGGGGGCTGGAACCTTGCTCCAAGTTTAATTATTATTTATTTATTATGAATTTAGGACAAGGCCAACAGGGTCTACAGGATCTACAAGTTCTCATTATGTAAATCGGATTCATAGTGATCCTCCTGTTTTCAGCCTCCCAAGCGCTGGGATTACATGCGTGCGCCACGACCCCCCAGTCTCAGTCGCCAGCTCAGAGCGCCCCCTGGGGCAGGGCCAGCACTGCATGGCCTGGGATCGAACCCCAGACCCTGTGCTCTGCTGAAGCAGACACTTTAGTCCGAGGAGCTATCTGGCCAGCCCTTAATTATTCTTTTGAGCT